TGCCCGAGGAGCAGCAATTTTTTTGTACCGACGAGAGCAGAACGACGACGGAGCACAAGAGCAGGCAATAAAACGCCAGCTACTCTTTTGATAAAACACGATTCTTATTATAGTTTTTCCTCCGTACTATCGCCCGGTCGTGTTTTCGATTTTCCTCCGCTAAAAATAGCAAGAGACTTTTATAATGGTAATAAAAAGTCTCCTTCTAGTTAAGCCTCACAGAGATGCTTATTTTTTTTTTAGCAGTAATCAGAATGAGAGAAAAAGACGCGAATTTTTATTTGGAAAATTGTGAAAAGAAATTGTAGCTCTTTTTATATGCCTATTTCTGAGAATTATTCTTGAAGCATTGGTGGAACAAGGAAAGTAAAAAGAAACTATAATAATTATATTTTTTGCACTTTTTCACAGGAGGCGATTTGGAATTGTAAGGCTGTTGAAATTTATGCCTAAGTACAAAGGCAAGGAAAAAAACGTCATCTTTTAATTACCAGTAAAAAATAATTCATAATATTCGTCATTCGATTTCATATTTTATAATTGTTTAAAATCTTAAAACTGTATAATGTATACATTTTTATTTCGATTATAGAGTTTCAAATTTTTAGATCAGTTGCTGTCAAAACACGTAATTGGCTGGGAATTGTGGCTAGTTATGTTGAATATTATTAATTTAGAAATTGTTAAACTAATTTATTTCACTGAGAGAATACTCGAAATGCATTAATCAGCAATATAACAATAATTTATAATTTTATTATTTATGTTAAATAAAAAATTCATAGGTTTTAATTTTCTCAGTTGCACGGGTTGCATACTACGCATATAGACGGGCCAAATCCTGGTATATTTTAGTGTCAAAGCAACCTGAAAGCATTTTACAGCCAGGGAAACGGCTGTGATTCTCGATGTGGCACAATTTACGATGCAAATCACATTCTCAGAATTCAATTAGCAGATGGTGCAGTTGATGGTTCTCTCTCTGCGTTGCATAATTCCAAAGGCAATCGCGACGTTCGAGTGCAAAACGCGCGTGACAATTGCATTTGTTGCGCTGTATGCCTGGGAGTGATTGCGCACCTAATTGGAAAAAAGTGTGCGGCGATAGAGAGGGCACGCGAAATAATGGCGAGGCGGAACAAAAGGCTTTTCGCAGCTCACGCGTCACTAGTTATCGGCCAGCGCTTGGAAAAAAAAGTGTAGTCGGGGCGCGTGCATGTGATGTGATGATTTCCCAGGACACTTCTCGAGCTGTAACTGTCTTGCAAGGGGCCAGCCAAAGCCGATTCTCAGTGGAATTTCCGGGAATGTTTCTTTCTTTAAACACCACGCCTTTTTGTGCATGAACTGCGGCCTTCTGTCAGGGAATAGAAACGTTCAAAAGTTTTGCAAAAGTGTCAGCTATATTGTACAGGGCTTATTCTGAATTTAGCCCCAAGGGAGAAAAAAATTATTGGTCAATTTGTCAAACTTTTAAAAATTAGTTGAGACCCCTCAAATATTTATAAATGTAAAGCTGTTAAAAAATGAAGAATCTAATAATATATTTTGTTATATCTAAGATTTTTAATTAATTTTTTTACTAGTCTGTTTTATAAAACACCTAAACTTGAATACCTGCGAGTGTTTTTTCTTAGAATTGTTCTTTCTTCAGTTCCAGACGTAATTTTTTGTGCTCAAAACTGTGCTCTTGACCACTTTTTTCCATTAGGTCTAATGAAAAATGATTTTTTTTTAAAGCTTTCATAAAAATTTTTAATTAGACGCTAAATAATGTAAAAAATCGCTGTGTAAAGGTGTTTTCTTTTTCAGCCCAGCAAAAATATAAAATTAACGTGTTCGTCTGCGTTTGCTGTAATTTTGATTTTGCCGTTGAATATTAAATGCAAGACTGCTGGGATATGATGAAATTGTTGCAATCATAAGACATGTCACGATGAGCGAGTTGTGTGTCAGTTTCTGAGCCACATAATGTAAATGCAGCTTGGGATGAGAAACGTATTGTGTCGTGGTGTTCTTTTCTTTATTCTCCTTGGCTGATAATATAAGTCTCTCAGGCTACGAGTTCACACGTACTCCAGAAATCCGTCTTAAAGAGAAAGAAAAATATTAAGTTCTCAAGCAGCTAGGTGTATTTATCGTGGACGGGCGTGTGAAATATCTGTGCCATAAATATTCGGAGAAATATATTTGCAGCACGTATTTCTCGCCATGGAACAGCTCGGAACAAACACACAACTCGAAATCGATTCAATTTTGGAAATTGCTGTTTTAATCCGAGATCAGTGAGCGAGACTGAAAGGAAGGAAGTTGCTTTGAAAGTAGCCGGGGCGATTGGAATCGCTTTCTTCTCGCCTGCAATAAATAAAGTTTTGCGGCCGAGGAGGTGTGAGATAATGAAAGAGATAATCTCAATTAACTTGGCTCTCCTCAATCGGCCTTTATCCGCGGATGGATCGACCGAATCATTCCTATTCCCTTGCTCGCCTCTTTGTTTGGTTTGGCGAGCGTGTTCTCGGAAAAGGCCACCCCTCGACGACCGAGAGGGAGAAATCAACCGATCACGTTTAAACTTGGAGAAAATGTGTGTGTGCTTTTTATATATATTATCTTGACTCTTCACAAAAGACTTTTAACACTCTCGTGAAAGCTGGAGAAGGAAAAAAGCGAGGACGGGCGAAAAAAGTTGAAAAGTTACAGAGCGAGCGACTAAAAATAAAATAAAGGCTCTTAGAGCCAAGCGTGCCCCTTCTAGGACCGACTGCGTCTCTTGATTTAAGCCGGGGACGTGTTTTAGTTTGTCAGGATCAGAGATTTTATTGCATTTGTTTGTCCTTGGGAAAAGCAGGTCCCTGGATTATACAGAAGCAAAGCTCGGTCGGTGAAAGGAAAAAGCAATTTTCGGGAAATTCCAGACTGCGGTTTGCTTTAATAAAGTCGTAACTTTATTTACTCAAAATTCATTAGCACGGATTTTTGCTTTTGAAGGTGCTCCCTGCGCGTTTCTCTAATTAAAACCAACGGCGCCGCGGGGCTTCCGACGAGTTGACGAAATTTCACTCGGGGTATAAAAGTTAAAAAATTTCCCGCTCAAATGAGAAACTCTAATTTAGACCCGGCGACTTTTATATTAAATGAGTGTTTATTTTTTTCCTGGCGGTGCTTCTTCTTCTTCTTCTTCTTCTGCTTCTTATTCGGGAGAGACTCTTCGCACACACGCCGAGAACGAGAGGCAGCTCATTTCAAGGAGTAATTTATTCATGCGTCTCGTTTTTCCTGCTGCAAAAGAAACATGTCGAGAGCGAGAGGCGAAAAAAGGTCGTGCGCTCTCTCTCTCTCGGAATTTATATTTGCTAAGCCGAAAGAGTTAATTACATTTATTTCGAGCCGAGAGCTGAAGTTTTCAATTTACGTCCGGGGCAGGTGCTGAAGAAGAAGGAGTTGGCGAGAAATCACGCGAAACGCCGCCACGCCGAACCGACTCTATCACGCCGGCGATATTTTACGCGAGCGAGTTAATCTTGATGGAACAAACATTCAAGGTGTTATCCGAGCGCAGAACTTCTTCTCTAACTTCCGATCTTGGGCGCAATAAGTTTCTTTCCCTCGCTCGCTTTCCTGCAGATTGATGTAGTGTGCAAGAGGGTCAAGTTTGACGCCTCCATATTTCTATAACAATCTGCTGGGCGCGCGGACTGATATTTCGGAGCATGCACCGCTGCTCTCCGCCGCCGCTTTTCCATCTTTTTCGCTGCCACCGAAAGCAAACTACGTGTAACAACAACCCAGCTCATGATGGAGTATCAATATTAACTTATGGCGGCCTGCACAGCAAATCCACTCTCCTGGAAGCTGAAAAGGAAGGCACATTTCCTGGTACACCATCGCAACTCTCAAATCGATTATCATCGGTAAAAAAAGGAAAAAAGAAGAAGCAAAAATAGGTGAGAAAATTAAAATTTAAAACCCGTTTAATTTTTCTACTTTTGAATTCAAAAACTTTTGGTATTGTTATACAATAATATAGGGGAACAAAATTATCAATAAAGAAAAAATTCGGCATATTAATGTGTAATCTAAATTCAACTCAAATCACCTACTCTTATCAAAATTATAATTATCCCAATTCATTTTATCAGAAATTTATATCTATTGAGCTATTCTACCCTACAGATCACTTATTTTTCCCGAATTCGAGAAAAAATCTGAGTTATTTTTTTCAATTAAGTTGAATGTAAATTAATAAAAATGCCTCTCCATGTCTCTTTATTTACTTTTTTCGTATCATGTATTCAAAATACTTATTTTACTCTAATATTTATTATTACTGACTTTAATGGTCATAGTAAATTTAAATGAATGGTACTAAAAATTTCAACATTGTTCCGTCATGGAAAAAAACACTATTCCAAGAAGAAGCTCAGCATTTTCTTTCCCCGAGGGAAACTTTTCTTCCTCGTTCGTCTCTCTCCTTTTTACCAAAATTGTTTCGCGTCTCTTTTGAAATTCCGAGCCGCGTTATGGTCGGCGGTGGAAGTAGCATCAACTTGGAAGGTGCGGACGGAGCGAATTGAAGGAGCGCATGATAAATTGCCAAGAGTTGACGCATTTCCTCGCGTCGCCTCTGGCAATGATACACAAATAAATAAATGCGCACACAGTCAGCCGTATAGACGACGCCGGCTGGCAGCGAGAATTTCTCCAGCACAAAACATCGTTTGTGATGTGGCGGCGAGCGAAGGAAAAAATCTTTGAATGCAAAGCGAGTTTTTTTGATGGCGGAGAAAAATGTGGAGATGCGCTTCCATTAGTTCTATTTGTGTACAAAAGAGAATGAGCAATTCAAATGCTCTCAAAAATATTGCGCGATTATTTTAATTTGCTTTAATTTTTTAAATATAAAACAACATTCTTCAATATAAAAAAGGGAACAATTAGATTTTTAATTTTTCAAACTGCAGTTTGCTGCAATTAAGTAGAATTTTTAATAAAAATCACAATTAGTTTAACAGCATTTTATTTAATTTGCTTCAATAATAAATACACAATTCCGCACAATTTCTCCAAGTCATATTTTTATCCATAGTAGTTATTGGGATATCGTCCATGATTTTGACCGTGTCCGCCGTACTGGTTGCCACGGTGATTGTTGTGTCCGGAATGCTGATAAGGGTTTCTGCCACCTTGACCATAATTGTAGCGATTGTTGCCACGGCCGCCATAATTATTAACGCGGTACGGAGAACGAGCCACTCTCACTCCATCTGCAAATAATAAATTTTGATAGTCAATAAAAAAATTTATTTATAAACAAAAAATTTAATCACTCATTGTGATAAAAAATAAATTAATTAGTAAAATTTCAGATATTAAATCGAATTTCAATTTTTGTAACGAAAATTACAAAACCTCTCCGACTGTCAAAATATTTACCAAAATCGCTGGCTTCATCATCATCATCGAGCTGGACCTCGTCCTGGGCCCAGGCAGAAGTGGCGAGAACCACCAGAACGACGACCACGAAAAGTTTCAACTGCATCGCAGAGCTTGCAAGAGTATCTTTGAATGAATCGCTCTTCAGAGAAGATGCCGTTTATATATCGAGAGAGACATCGGAAACCAAAACCGCCGGCGAGTAGCATCAAAACACATCTTTCCACAGCAGGAAACCACGATTTTGATGACAACAAAGATCAACATTTACCACGAAAACATCCGTGGAATAAGGTCACTGCTCCCGAAAATGTTCAAAATTGAACAGAAAGTTTGATTTTTTTTTTCGTAAATAAAAATGGAACGCTGTCTAACAATCTAACAACAGAAAAACTTTTCAGACAGATTTAGGAGATTAGACAAGCTCCGCGGGGGAAATATCATTCATTGGATTAGCGCAGAACAAGTTGGTGGAAAGCTCCGCAGGAACACAAACTTGCCGGCAACATTTTTGGCAATGAATCACCTGATTTAGTGCTCTATCGGCCCAATGATCGGGTGCGCGCGTGTTCTGCGGCTTTTCCACTTTTAATAATTTAGCCAAACTTTCAAACTTTCCTTCCGGCACAGTGTGTGTGTTTTTTCAGCAATATCTGGCATGTTTTAAAACAATCAGGGGCGCGTTAGAAAAATTTACTGCCGAAAGGGGACTGGAGGCAAAAGAAAGGAGGAATTTCTGCGGATGAATGGTGAAATATCGAGGGGGAACGGGACGATCACAACTGCAGATATAGAAGCAGACTTTATTTCATGGTGGTGCAATATATTTCTGCCGCGGTGCGAGGTGACACCGCCATCGCTGCGCCATGCATACGCCCTCGCCGGAAAATAGAGGAGATAAAGAAAAATATGAGACGCCGCGCATTAAAAAAAAAAAAAAAAAAAATATTCGCTTGGTGCTGCTGCATCTGAATTTTATATCGCGGGCAGCTTTTATTATATGAAAACGACGCGTGCATGAAAAATCATCGCCTAATTTTCACGAGGCACGTTTTCGCGCGGTGCGAGCGAGCGAGAGAGAGATGCTGATTTTTTATTTTAATAAAACTCGCCCGCCCGCTGGCATCATCCGAGTTAAATTGCCTCGAGACGTGCCCGGGGGGATGATGCATGTTATGATATGGCAATAACCCCGTGACGTGACAAATGCCCTTGACTTAGCCAAATCACTTATATCCTCCTCTGGAGACGAGAGAGATGCAAAGGCTCTGCTTTCCATGCTGCACAGGGGGCGCCTTATGCTCAATTTGGAATGCGAATTTCCGTCAGCATAAAAATTCGTGTGACACAAAAGGAGGAGCACTGCCTGTGCCACTGTTGCAAGAGGGGCGTGCGCGTCAATAAAAAATATCTTGTGGAATCGGGTCAATGGCACAAATTTGCATGAGTAGAGGTCGTTTCGGCATTGTTGCTGCAGAAAACGTTCTAAATGAAGAAAAAAAATCATGCATGCTCATTTTCAAGAATGATTAATTTAAATTGCACTCAAAATTTAAAAAAAAATATGTTTACAAACAATTTTTCAATAACTTTAAAACGCTCAACTTTTTTCTGTTTATTCTATTTAAATTTTTCATTGAATATTTCTTAAATCTTTGTATTTTTAAATTTCACCAAACTGATAACTTTTATTTAGGTATTGTTGCCACTTTAGGTCAACATTTTTATCAATTCTTAGAATTTAATGTGAAGTGAAATAAATAATTGTTTACAACCCATTATCAAACAATCATAAATCCGCATAAATCAAACAATCACCTTACCTGTACCAAACAACGCAAAATTTTAACCTTCCCCAACAATTCAAACGTGAATCGCTTTTTTACAGAAGATTAAAAAATATGATTATAATTATTATTATTTTTAATTCATTAATTTATAAACAAGTCGACGGGTAAGTTGTGATCATTTTTATTTAATGGTGAAACAAGTCTTTTCCCCTTCCCCAATATTAAAACTAAATAGTTTCAGATCTTTGTAAAATAGTGAAAAAAATTTCAAAGGAAATAACTGTAATGAAATTTTTTGAACATACACATTATGCAAAATAGTGAATTTCTACAAGAAGCTTAGGAAAAACGCTCCGCCTAATTGTTGTTGAGGCAAAATTGGTAATATCTAGGCGATTGAAATAGCTTATTTTTTTTTTTTAATAATTATGTTATAAATATAATAGGTCAAAATTTCCACTGGCAACTATTGTTTTAGAAGTTTCACTAAAATTTAAAAAAATAATGAAGACATTGAAAATTGAAATAAAAAGAAAGAACTAGGAAAACACTGTAATTAAACTTTAAATTTATTAGGAATTTCTCAACTTATTAAGCTGTCATTATTTATATACTTAAAAAAAATTGTATTACAATTATTATTTAAAAAAGGGAATACCATTGATTTGCAATTAGGAATTTGCAATTGTCTCCCAAGCTCAATCTACGAATTTTTATGTATTGAAAATTAGTTAACATAAAATACATTTTTGCTGATTTAACAAAAATTTATTATTTTTCATGATCAAATTGATGTTGATAGAATGCTTCTTGAGGTGCTACTTGAAATGTTTAAGATTACTCAAGAGTAATTTTTTAAACTGCTATATTGCCATAAGTATACTGAAATATTATGCAATAAAATTATCCGATATAATAATTTTAGGATAAAATACAGCATTATTTGAGTACTGGAATTGACTACCGATCATTTTATCTTTTTCTGCGCACGTCTGCAGCGGCCATTGAAAAATTAACCTTTCCATGTTTGATTTACGCGGCAGCGAACCACATCCTTGCACATATAATACATTGAAGAATTGCAAAAGCCAGCGAGCACTCGGCAAATTAGCATTTGCGCGCCGCAGCCATTCCAACAAATCTCTCTACTCCACTTGCCTTGGGATTGAAACGTGTGCATTTCACACTTCTGCTCCATTTAGCCAAGCTAGTCCAGCAGCTTTGCACTTCGTCACAATTAAAACATGAATTATGCAGTCTCAATAGCGCGGCTTATCTCCGTTTTATTAACTCAAATAATATTATTGCGCCGCGGAATTAGCGACTTGCTTAATCGCATTTATTATTATTAATAAGCAAGCGAATTGCGCCATCGAGTGTGTATAATTTTACGGGCAGACCAATCGTAACATGCAAGTGGTGCAGTCAAGTGCGCCAAATCCGCGTAGGTATATTTGTGTTTAATTATGCTGCTCAGCCCTGATGTGCAATCAAACAGAAATTAGCGCTGGAATTGGCAAGCGCTGCAGTGCTTCTCCGGCAGTCTAGCTCGGGGCCGTCGAGCGCGCGCAGAGTAAATATGCTGCACGCATTTCGGCCTAATTAATAATTGATACCGCCTTTCTGGCCCTCGTGGGAATTCGGAAGCCTAATCCGCCACAAGTCTCCTGGTGCCACGTTCGCCAAATTGTTTTTGCGAATAAGAGCCTCGCAGCCGCTCCCAAATTGAATGTGAGAAGCGCGTGTTATTAATATTAGATTGCTTGTATGAAATTTGACCAGATCGGTATAATTACGTGTCACCAATAATTTGGAGAAGATTTTTATCTTTCAACAACAAAAAATGTGTTGTACTGACTTTGATACTTTACTTTTTACCTCGTCAGATAAAAGGATCAATTTTGAAGTTAAGAAATTTTTCCTGCTTACTTTGCTGAGATATGCAAATTAAAAGATAAAAGATAATTGAATCTTAAGTAAAGTTTAATGCCTATACCAAAGAAAAAATCCTGTATTCTTATCAAAAATAACTTTTTCACGTAGGGACTTAAAATATTTTGTTTACGGTATCAATTATTATTTTTTTTACTTTATTATGTGGATCGAATTTTTATGGAAAAGCCCGATCTCTTCATTTCCATGATCATCTCCTCGAGTGTCAACTTCTTCAATCGAATTCAAATTTTTATATTAACCCTAATAAATTGTACTGGTTTGAAATTTTCACTTAACATTTTATAAGATTTTTTCTAGTATTATTTTATTAATGAATTTTAAGTTGAAATGCGTTGTCTTTGATAAAAAGTGCTGTCATAAAATATTTTGGAATAGAAATGAACTAATTTTTTATTTATTAAGATTTCAAAATTTAATTAAAAACCATCTAATTTTAGATAAATTTATTTAATGTAAATACTTTTTAACGCTATTAAACTAGATATTGCTCACATATCTAAAAATCTGGGTTTTCTTCGGCTAAAATATCTTTTTCAAAAAAAGTTTCTTTTTTCCTTGTCTTCTAACTTCAGATACTAAATTTATATTAATTATTATTATTAATTTTATTATTAAGCGAGATGCGCGAGTTGCGCGAGTTGCGCGAGTTGCGCGAGTTGCGCGAGTTGCGCGAGTTGCGCGAGTTGCGCGAGTTGCGCGAGTTGCGCGAGTTGCGCGAGTTGCGCGAGTTGCGCGAGTTGCGCGAGTTGCGCGAGTTGCGCGAGTTGCGCGAGTTGCGCGAGTTGCGCGAGTTGCGCGAGTTGCGCGAGTTGCGCGAGTTGCGCGAGTTGCGCGAGTTGCGCGAGTTGCGCGAGTTGCGCGAGTTGCGCGAGTTGCGCGAGTTGCGCGAGTTGCGCGAGTTGCGCGAGTTGCGCGAGTTGCGCGAGTTGCGCGAGTTGCGCGAGTTGCGCGAGTTGCGCGAGTTGCGCGAGTTGCGCGAGTTGCGCGAGTTGCGCGAGTTGCGCGAGTTGCGCGAGTTGCGCGAGTTGCGCGAGTTGCGCGAGTCGGTCGCGTCGGTCGAGTTGCCCTTGTCAAAAACGAGACCGTTGGAGGTCGTACTCGAGGTCGTTCAATTAATTAAAACAAACTTTTTTATTTGTTGCTTCTGTCTGTGATTGCTCAGAGCAAAAAAAAAAGTTTATTTTTATATAAGCTAACGTATACAAAGTATAAATATACAGCTTTTGCAAAACATGTCAATAGATATGGTTTTTTTTTAGTTGTCCAAGAGATCAGTTTATCTTTATCTCGCTGTCCCCCAAATTTATGAGATTTTGTGATCCTCAGTTTGAATGTTCGCTGAGCTGAACGCGCTCGCGGTAATCGGTTATTTTTCAGCTTTCGGCCT